CCGCCTGGAATATGTGACATGCATATTCCAGGAGGCAAAAGGAGGACATTGCTAGGTGATGTGCAAGAGGGGCGGGGCCGCACTTTTTTTAATGGCGAAAAAAAACCCAAATCCCTATTCTGGCAGCAGATGGGAGGGCGATGGAGACATGGGAAGTCTCTCCAGAGGGTGAAGAGCCACTTTAGGCTGAGTTATTTTATCTATAATTGTTCTCTTGTGTGCTCTGTGTATTGCTTGTAGTTTACATAGTTACCTAGTTAGTCTGGCTGAAAAAAGTCAAAAGTCCATCCAGTTCAACCATTAAAACAAAAAAAAGTTATAATCCTATACCCACAGTTGATCCAGAGGAATGCAGAAAAAACCCAGCAAAGCACAATAGTTTGTGACTTTTATTTTCAGGGCGACTAAAGGGTAAAACTGAAGTACAGATAATATTTATCACAGTGTGATTCTTCTTACAATAAAAAAAGTGAGAAAAATAATAAACATAAACTAAAGAAAAAATATAATTTCTAGAAAATGATTGTAGAGGATAGTTCTACATGTTAAAGATGTGTCTTTTTTAATAGCATGATACCTCCTATGGCTGTTTGTGTGAAAGAACATTTTGAATAAAAAAAGCTTCAGTTCATGTCTTGTAGATCAGTAAACCCTTTTTATTGGTTCTCTGGCTTGTGTGTTCGAGAGCTATACTGGAGGGCAATCTTGAGCCTTGTAACGGTAACCCCGCTGGACTGGTCATAGGCTGAAGACCAGAATCACGACCTGTGTCGATAGACTTTTGTTCCGATCAAAGAGGTTTCACATACCCTTACAATTCTATGGTGATGCAAAACCTGAAATAGTCAAAAGCAGGTCAAATGTACCTGTCAATAAATTTTGAAGAACCTCAGAAGTGTCTCAGACTGGCGTCAAACTGATGCCTTAAACACAAGTCCAAGGCCACTTGGCACAGGCCCTATGGTTCAGTGTTGACAGGTTTATAATGCCAAAACTGCTTTCATTGCTATACAAGCCTATTGATATGCAAAAGCAGCTTGAGTCAGATCAAAGAAAAGCAAAAAGGAGGTCAACTACAATTTAACTGCATCTGTTAAAGAATTCTGAATAATCTCTCCCAGTGATGCATTTTTCCATCCACAAAAATTCAAAGGCCATTGGCACAGGCCCTCACAGTAACCCACGGGCCCTCCAAGTTTTCAATGGGTTAAAGTAGAATTAAAGGCACATTTATTTTGTCTTTTTGGATAGAGTAAGGGAGTTTATAACCTCTTTCAGCCCTCTGCATCCCATTGGCGGGAATATTTCTCTTCACTTCCTGTCCCATAGCCAAAACAGAAAGTGAAATAAATCTCTCTAAAATAAGGGAATCCCTGGTTGTCACCAGATCTAGCGTCCTTATTGGAAGATTTCTCTTCTATTCATGTTCTGGGGACAACCCAAATTGTGGGCTTTTATTTCACTTTCACATGATGATGATGCAACTTGTACTTTGGTGGCTTTCTGTTGCCCTGTCCCAACTTTTTTGAGATGTGTTGCTGCCATCAAATTCAAAATTACCTTCTTTTTTTTTTACTGGTACATTTTCTCAGATTACACATTTGAAATGTTTTATATTATGAATAAAATATGGGTTTATGAGCTTTACAAATCATTGCATTTTGTTTTTTATGTAGATTTTACACAACGTCCTAACTTTTTTGGAATTGGGGTTGTAGTTACCAGAACAGATAGAGAAGGTGAATCTCCCTAATGGGGGCACAGACAGCTACCTAAAGCGGACAGGTGTTCTAATCCCTCTCCACTCTATCAAATACTAAAATAAAAAGTTTTTCCATTAGTTATACTTTAAGCTAAGAACTCCTATTGTACCTGCTTTGTTGATGCTATTGTCAGAAATCCTGTGAGCCCAGGCCGATATTGACGATGCACCCCCAAGGGTTATGTGCATGACTGCCTTGGCTAACAGGAAGTAGTTTGGATGACACTGGTCATCATTTAACCCAGAAGGTGACTGCCACTGAATCTGATGTAGCGCTTCCCCCACAGGAGCCGCTTGGTAGAACAACCTCAACCGCACTGACACCAGGTTAGGCAAATGGATATTGGACTGCTACTGGGAGAACAAATATACTGTAGATACCCTGCACACAGCTAAGGTTCAGTATCAAAAAGCAAAAATGAGACTGGTTAATGGTAAATGAACCCATATATTGTCATGGGTTGCAGTAAATAGCAGTAGGCACATAAATAAGTAAAGGATTCGTTCACAAGATAATATGTTCACTACGCTATAGCAGCATAGAACAGAGTTCTATGCAGCTAAATTAAAGTAAACCTGGTAATCCACAAAATCAGCCATAAGTAATGGGATTAGAAAACAGTAACATCACTGATAATCTTCTGTTTAACTCTGATTAACTCTTCTGTAAACAGCAGGCTATATCCACTTTAGAGTGCACTCTATATGAATGGCAGTGATGACATTTACAACCTAAAACCAAAAAGAGGTACCTCTTACTATGGACAATAGGCAAAGTTAATCAAATCAAGGTAAATCTGCACTAAGTCAAAACAAACAAATAACCACGTACAAGTAGCCGCTGTGCAAGTGTTATACCAATTAAACCACCAATAAATATACAAATAATAAAAAAAAAAAATTAAAATGATAACAAAAGCTTATTTGTATACATTTTAATTTATTAGTATAGTACTTTTGACTACAGAATCTTCTTTTTTGTCCACAAGATGGAGTAGTTTTCACCTTTAATATTATATTCTAGTAGTTTTAAATCTCACCACAAGGTGAAGCTCCTGTGCGAGCTCCAATGCTGAATATTGAGACAATTTAGAAAGAGTTAGTGTGATGGTTGCTGTCCAGCCCGTTCCCCGAAGACGTCATTTCTACCGAAACATGAGTGAGCAGTCTTTAGCCCCAGTTCTTAAGCTTGATAGCATAGGGGCCCAGTCTTTATGGTGGTTCACATGAGTACAGTCCCAGTAAAGTCTGCATGCAGTGAATGATGCTGCTAGGTAGGTGGCCAGTCACTATGTGCTCAATCTCTGCTAGCAGCAACAGGGAAATTGCAGGAGTGTCCTCTCACCAGTCCAAGCAATACAGCAACAGGGGTCCCGCTCTTCAGATGTCAGCTCACTTCTGGCTCTGCTTGGAGCAAATCCAGTTCTCAGCCCATGGCTTCAGGCTTTCAGCAGGTTGATGTGCACGCAGGAGCAGCAATATCCACATCTTGTTCAGCCTGTGAAAATACAGCGACCTCTGTTTTTATACCCGGGAATTGCAGTGCAATAGTCAATTAACTGCCATAGTGCAGTTTCTTCACCCGAACTTCATCTTCCATGATTCAGTGCTGTCAACTGTTAAGTCTCTTGTGCTCCTTCTGTTTTAGAGGTAGTGTTCAATCATTCAGCTGAAGTCCATTGGGTAACACAGAAAGCACTGCAGCACAGTGTCCAAAATCACTTTCTATCTGTAGCCACACATCTGCCTACACTGAGATTAGCAATTCTGCAGGGGACAGCACTGAAGAGATGAGAATTGCAGGGAGACATTTTTATAATATACTGGGCTACTTTTCTTTAAAAAAGTGGAGTTGGGTTGTAAATGGTTAAATTATTATTCAGAATGCACAAAAGTGATGCAACCCTCCCTAAGGCTATCTATAGCCGTTGGCAGTAATCGAATGCTAAAAATCGGACAGACTGGTTGTACCCAAATAGATCAATGGATTTACTCAATCAGCTTGCCCATAGATGGATCGAATCTCGTCCGATCCCTGCTGAACCAGCCAAGATTCGATCCATCTATGACTAGCTTAATGATTACCAAATGATACCAACATCCACCCTAAACAAATAGGTAATTGCAACACACAATTGACAGAGTAATCCCTCCCATGCAACAACACTGACAACTTTTGAAAGGTTTTCATCAGCCATTGATACCTATTGGCTCTTTACAAAAGTTTTTCAAAAATTTGCTGTTTTATCTGTTTAGCTTTAAGGTTTAACGTGTCCCCCTGAGCAGCAGATGTGACTGTCTATGAGGCATGAATGCGTAAAAGCCATAAAGTAATTGCACACTTTATTCCACCTATTGCATACTTAGTGCTATAACTTGATTACTATTATGGGTGTTGTAACCTTTACATAGGATTTATGGCAGGCATATATCTCCTCTCTCCCCCATTGGGTAGAACACCTCCCATGAGCGCAGAATGTTATAATCACGTTGTCCTTGACATTCAGGTTTTTTAGCAAAGTAAATGTAAGTTGTAGAGCGCTGGACCTTTTAAAGTAGTAAATGTTCTCAGTCAGGTGGTCCTAAGCAATGTAGAAGAAATCATTCTCCTTAGGCAGCTCCAAGTAGTGGTGGTTGAAGGTCAGCTATTTGCTCAAATACGAACTGGGTGTACAAGAAGGGACAAAGTCCAGATTTAATTTTATTTGGATTCTTATATCATATAAAGCTAATTCATATCTGGGGTTTAAAGGGTCTCCCTTCATCGGGACTTGGTGTTACCACTCAAGGTGGTTCCATAATCTTCTAGGTCACCTTTCTCAACCTTTTGAATGTGAAGGAACCCTTGAAATATTTTTCAGGTTTCAAACAACCCCCGCTAATATTTATTATATCCACAGCTCAGGGTACATTGGCATGAACAGTAAATTAAGATACTGTATAGGAATAATTATAAGAAAATAAAATGAGGCCTACTTGAAGTACTTGGCACCAAGATCTACTATTTATAACAAAATTATTTTCAGAAAAAAATTGATGAAATAAAACAAATAATAATTATTGCCAGAAAATAAATGCAGACAGTGCATTATAGCATGTTCCCTCATACTGGTGGTTAGTGGAAAAGTGTCTCCTTAATTTGGTGGTTAGTGATGAGGGCCCCCTTTACTTTGGCGACCAGTGGAAAAAGGCCCCCCCCTTACATTGGTGATCATTGACAGATGGGCTCCATTAAACTAGTGGTAAGTGGGAGAATCCACCTTACTTTGGATATCAGTGGAAAGAATGCTGTTTGCATTGTCTTTCAGTAGAAAGAATGTCCTTTACATTCATTGTCATAGAGAAGACCGTCCCTTACATTGGTGGTCAGTGGGAAGAATGTTCCTTACATTTGTGTTTAGTGGGAAGATTGTTCCTTAGATTGGTGTTCAGTAGGAAGAATACTCATTACATTGGAGGTCAGTGGGAAGAATGCTTCTTACATTGGTGTTCAGTGGGAAGATTGTTCCTTAGATTTGTGGTCAGTGGGATAATGCCCATTACATTGGTTGTCAGTGGGCAGAATGCACATTACATTGGTTGTCAATGAATTAATGCCTCTTACATTGGTGGCCAATGAGAAGAATGCCCCTTCATTGGTGGTCAGTGGGAAGAATGCCCCTTACATTGGTGTTCAGTAGGAAGAATACTCATTACATTGGTGGTCATTGGGAAGAATGCCCCTTACATTGGTGTTCAGTAGGAAGAATACTCATTACATTGGTGGTCAGTGGGAAGAATGCTTCTTACATTGGTGGCCAATGGGAAGAATGCCCCTTCATTGGTGGTCAGTGGGAAGAAGGCCCCTTACATTGGTTGTCAATGAATGAATGCCTCTTACATTGGTGGCCAATGGGAAGAATGCCCCTTCATTGGTGGTCAGTGGGAAGAATGCCCCTTACATTGGCATTCAGTAGGAAGAATACTCTTTACATTGGTGGTCAGTGGGAAGAATGCTTCTTACATTGGTGTTCAGTGGGAAGATTGTTCCTTAGATTTGTGGTCAGTGGGATAATGCCCCTTACATTGGTTGTCAGTGGGCAGAATGCCCATTAAATTTGTTGTCAACGAATGAATGCCTCTTACATTGGTGGCCAATGGGAAGAATGCCCCTTCATTGGTGGTCAGTGGGAAGAATGCCCATTATAATGGTTGTCAGTGGAAGAATGCCCTTTACATTGGTTGTCAGGGGGAAGAAAGCCCATTATAATGGTTTTCAGTTGAAGAATGCCCATTATAATGGTTGTCAGTGGTAGAATGCCCTTTACATTGGTGGTCAGGGGAAGAATGCCCCTTACACTGGTGGTCAGTGGGAAGAATCGCTCCTTACACATAGCTAAAAATATCATTGGTGTATATCTCTCATCTCTCAAGGATCCCCTAGCAACCTCTGAAAGCACCCTGATTGAGAAAGACTGATCTAGAGTGATCATCAGACTAATTACCCCTCAGGATCCCTGTTTATCAGTCCAGTACACACTTTCTTCAGCAGTACCAAGCTCTGATGAAAAAGGGTTCTTGGAATTCCTGAAATGCGCTGGTACTTATGACATAAGTCTCCATAAAATTGAATCTGGATTTTATAGGTGCAGCTTTTTGATGTTTTCCTTCATACACATCCAGGTTTATTAGTCTGCTTGTCGTCTTTATAGTTTAGATTTGTGATGATGTTTGTGCTGACTTTATCTCATATTCCTATGTGGCGTTATGGTTATCTGTATGAATGGTCATGCAATAAACTGAAAAATAAAGTTAACTTAGTTAAACCTTATGCATATTAATGCAAAACGTCATGCACATATAAGACACAAATAAATATAGCTCTGTGTGTATGTGTGTGTGTATATATATATACAGTATATGCAAGTGTAAGCATCTGAATGAATATGATCTGGTATCAGCCTCTTCCAGTTTTCTGTACATAATAGCTCAGACTGGAAGAAGGAGGGTAAGCACGAGGAGTCAATCAGTTGTGCTGCAGTGCTCATGTTCTAATTGGGTCACGCTGATAGAAAGAGAGAGAAGAGTGACTGAGTGATGCCCTTCTAAATGAGGTGGGGGCAAGACACTGGATAGGAAACCACCAGTAAAAATGAAGTCTAAGTGGACTCAAACTGCTTGGGTTTGGTGGCTCTCCACAAAGTGGGAACTCCTCAGAAATAACGGTCACCCAAACTGAGTTGTTTTTATACAGAAAAAACACCAAAAAAATTATCCAAGAATGCAAAAATGATTTCTTAGTTTAGTAATCGTATTTTGTTGGCACACAGATCCCCTTCTTCAGATCATAAAACACATGAAATCTCAGATTCTTTACAGTAAATTGGTACTCCGGTACATTAACTCATAAATATGAAAAAAAAAAAAATCATTAAAGTCCAAAAGTATGTTTATCCAGTATCAAACACACACACATATATACAGTATATATGTATATTTACAGTATATCTATAGATAAAAAAATGACTATAATCGTAAAATTAAAATAAAATCAATTGGTTCACACTAGAGTGATGATCTCACCAATCTGTTGCTTCTCCTTTCACAATCCAGCCACAGGGAGGGGAAGAGACCGGTAAGTGATAGAAAATGGCAGCAGAGAAATATCTTCTGTCCTGCTAGACAGGGCTGTGCTGTGTGGCAGAGCTGTGGAACCTTTCATTTTACTGTATATGAGGATGTGTTTCTGAGGGTTAGAGGTGTTTGGGTGTGTGTGCCACCCATGGCAGCCCTGTTATATTAGGCCTATGTTAGCTATACAGATATCCAGCCTTGGTTACCAAGTGCAGAGCACAGCTGGAGAAGTGTACCCGGGGCTGGATCTAGAGGTGTAATAAAAAAAGTCAGGGGGCTTACTATCAACTGTGTCAGATAGATGCAGGGAACCTGTATTTCCTATGCATTCTTTACATTAGGGTTCCCATCAGATGTCCCCATTGAAGTATTTCCTTACATCAGGTCCCCCCCTACATTAGATGTCCCCAACAGAGTGTCCCCTTACATCAGGGTCCCTATCAGAGCATCTCCTTACATCAGGGTCCCTATCAGACTGCCCTGTTACATCATATGACCCAATCAGAGTCCTCCCTTAAATAAGATGTCCAAATCAGAGTCCTACTTTACATCAACTGTCTGCATTAGAATCCCCCTTTACATAAATTGTCCCCATCTGTGTGCCCCCTTGCATCAGATGTCCTCATCAGAGTCCTCCCTTACATCAAATGTCCCCATCTGTGCACCCCCTTACATCAGGGTCGCCATCACAGTGCCTCCTTACATTAGTGTCCCTATCAGACTGCCCCCTTACATCAGATGTCCCAATCAGAATCTCTCTTAAATAAGATGCCACAATCAAAGTTCTCCTTTACCTCAGGTGTCCCCATCATAGTGCCCCCTTACATCAACTATCCTCATTAGAGTGCCTCCTTACATCAACTGTCTGCATTAGAGTGTCCCCTTACATGAATTGTTCCCATCAGATTGCCCCCTTACATCAGATGTCCTTATCAGAGTCCTCCCTTACATCAGGGTCCCCATAACAATCCTCCTTTACATCAGGATCCCCATCAGAGTCCTCCCTTACATCAGATGACCCCATCAGAGTCCTCCTTTACATCAGATTCCCCATAAGAGTGCCCCCTTACATCAGATTCCCCATTAGAGTGCCCCCTTACATCAGGGACCCTATCAGAGTGCCCCCTTACAGTACATTAGATGACCCAGTCAGAGTCCTCCCTTACATAAGATGCCCCAATTAGAGTTCTCCTTTACATCAGCTGTCCCCATCAGGGTGCCCCCTTACACAAACTATCTGCGTCAGAGTAACCCCTAACATCAACTGTCCCCATCAGAGTATCCTCTTACATTAAATGTCCCAGAGTCCCCTTATATCAACTGCCACCATCAGAGTGCCTCATGGATCCATGGATGCCCTTCTGGAGACCCGGGGGCACAAATAAAATTTAGGGGGGTGGGCAAAGCCAACCCCTGCACCCCCATAGATCCGGGCCTGCCTACTCCTGACCTATAGGTTCTCTGCACATGGTCTTGCCATTAAGCACTTTCACTTGCCACCCACTGCTTTATGGAAAATCCAGAGAAGGATGGTAAAGGTGGTGTAGACTCCTCCCACTTCTTGCAGTCAAGGTCCATTGGCATCCATGACAGCTGTGACCCCAGTTCCTACACTACTAGATGGGCATGTGTGTAATATATTGGGTTACCAGCACCTGCACATGGTCTTGCTGTCCAATCCACTTATGTATGGTCATCCTTAGAAGCCAGGCTAAACTTACACTTTTATACTCAAGGCAAAAATATTATTTCTTGTTTACATAAAGATTAACTCCAGCCAGATATAATTAATACACAAAATATTGCAGTTCTCTGATGATAAATACATTAATACATGTAATTCTTTAGATATAAGTGTCAGGGCAGGAGCGCTGAAATGGGCAGGCAGGCCTATGCACGGTTACACCGTGACTGACGACAGCCACTACCCACAGACCAGAATCCCTCAGGGCGCGGAGTCTAAGCCCCAGGCTACCCTTCACCAGGGCCCCTGATGGTGGGGATGGACTTGACACAGCCTGAGACCAGGTCGCGGCCCCCGAGTGACCCCAGATGCGGTAACGACTGCCGCCAATGGTGTACAGCTGGTGGGAGCTAGATGGGAACACAAGTAGAGTAGTCAGACAGGCCGGGTCAATAACAACAGAGCAGACAGTACTAGACGGTAGGCAAAGAATACTCAGGTCACGGGCCGGGTTCAGCAACGGGAGGTCAGGTAAAGGGTTAACGCAAAGAATAGTCTTGTCCAAGCCGAGTCGGTTACCAGGAGAGCAACAGGAACAACACAAGAGCTTGCAACAGGGCAACATACAGGACACAAGTGCAGCGCACACTTGCAGACAGGAGGTTTAAATGTGCTCAACCACACCCTTCTGAGGAGGAGCTGCAGAAGCCTGAAGGCATAAAGGTTCCCACCATGCTTTGCAGAAATCCAAGATGGATGGCAGCATGGAGATGCACAAGCTCTGAAGAAAGGTAGGACCTTGACAGTAGGCAGTGCAAGTGCCTGAATTTGGCTTGGTATCATCATCTTGTAGTCTACTGTACAGCCTCTAAAGTAGAGCTCAGAAAGAGGAAGGGACAAGTAGCACCAACCAGGTTTGCTGTAGTGCAAATAGCATGCGGAAAGGAGGAGAGAGCAGAGCAACAATAAGCTGAGCTCATCAGTGTGCTGCTTATCCTTTCACTGTCCAGTCACAAGGTGAGGAAGGAACCTGTAAGTGAAAGTAAAACTGAGAAAGACCAGGTCCACACCTCTGCTAGCCAAGGCTGTTCTGTGTAGCAGAGCTGTGTGAACCTCAGAACTGGATGGACAGAAAAGGAAAATCGTTTGGCAGATAAAACAGCTCCCATGTATGTGTTTCATCTGTATATTTAGCTGTTTTCCTGAAGTTCAGTTTATTGGCCCCACCCTATCATTCAAGCACCGTTTCTAAAAGATAAGAATTTTTATTGCCAGTTAATTGTGGCGTCTCAGTAGATGTTATTTGTCATAAACACACCCGCAAAGCTGCATTGAACTTTTTTTTTTACAACTAATATCAGATTTTCCCAATTTACAAATTTCATGTGTGGGCGAAACAAAAAGTAGCTTAAAAATGACATGGCAAAAGGGAGAAATAAACCAACAACAGGAGGAAATTGTGTGCAAAATATATTGGAGATATCAGATAAGATAGGAATCAAGGTACAAGGCCTCCGATAAGGGGAAGTACCTGATCCTT